GCTTATATGTTGCTGCTGAAAATTATAACATATTTATTATAATATTAATTTTTAAGAAATCATAATACATTTTAAAATATCTTGACAATCAGCGGCAACTGTAAAAAGTCATCGCTCATTGCCAACTTTCAATGGCAAATTCTATATCACTACTGAAACTTAAATCTTCAACGATGACATACACTTGTCGTCACTAAAAATTTGACAATTAGTGATAACTATATATTTTTACCATAAAAGGTCACCATTTCAGCGATGACTTTGATGTCACCGCAAAACGTCTTAGTTTCAACAGCGACCTTTTTGTTTTTAGCAGTGACTTTTAGAGTTGCTGCTAAAAGTCACCACTAAAAGTTATTGTTTTTGTAGTGATAAATTTTAAATTGAAAATACTTTTTTACCCTCATTACAAGTTGTGTTTTCTTATTCAATTCTTGTTATTATTTGAAGAAAAGTTGTGATTATTTAAACAAAAATTGTGAATAGAGTTTGTTATTTTTGAGAAGTTGTTTTTCAACAATAAAAATTATACTTGATAAATTGTGATTTCTTATTCAACTATTGTGATTCACAGGACAAAATTGTTATTCCTTAAGTAAAAGTTGTGATTGAGACTTGTTTTTCAATAATAGTAATTACACTAGACAAGTTGTAATTTCTTATACAATTCTTGCAATTTATAGAATGAAAATTGTGATTCCTTAAACAAAAGTTGTAATTGAAACTTGTTATTTTAGTAAAGGTAAAATAGTCTTTTCATTTTAAAATTTATTGACAAAGAGATTCCTAAGGATTTCATTGAAATTATGACATTTTGAGAAACTAAATTATCATTTATATAATTTGCAAGATTTTATTGTCATTTTCCCTTAATTTTTTTATGAGATTTTCCTTTTACTTTCATTAAATATTGGTATGAAAAAATATGTTATTAAATTATGGATATTTAATAAAAGCAAAGTAAGAAGCTTATTAAATGTTTAGAAATAGTTCCATAGGATTTAAGATTTCCCTTAATTCTTGTAAAATATGTTAAAAATGAATTATACATAAAAAAAAAAAGTGCGTGTATGAATCAAACGCCACTTGCGTGCTTGGTAATTTTGGGACTATTGTATTTCTGCACATATTAATTGAATTTATTCCTTGCTTCAAGATAATCCATACATATTAGTTTATTCCTTGCTCCAATATTAATCTATTTATTGTAATTTTTCAGCCATTTCCCCCTTTTGTCCAGCTGCTAGTTTCATCCCGATCTCTAATAAAAGATTTCAAGTTATTGAACTAAAATGTGCAAGTGAAGAAAGTTCCAATTAAATAATTAAGATAAAGAAATTTTTGTCCCTCAACTATTCACTCAAAAGTGTCTGGTATTGTAAATTAATTACATGTGATGCAATTTTCTCTTCAATATTTTAAAATATCGCATTGGGCACCATATCATTAAAAGTTAACTTTGTTCCACCAAAAAAAAATTAAGTTAAACCATCAGTTAGTTTAAAAATTACAGAAAATGACCTTAAAAATTATAAGAAAAATCAAAAAATTACATATAAAGACATAGAAAATTGGGTGATGGATTTGCGAACATCCATAATAATAGATACATTTCTCCCTAATGTAATTTTTTAGGATTAAGAGCAATTTAGCCCATAAATTATGGATTCAAGAGCATTTAGAATTATAAACTCTTTTCTCATGCAATGTTTCTCCTCAATTTTTACAATGTAATCCTTACCGTTAATAAAAGTTAATTTTGACTATTATTTGATCGAAAAATGATAGAAAAGTTTAAGAAAATTACAAAAAAAGACTAAGATAATTACAAAAAATGGCACAAGATTTACAAACATGACCCAAAAAAATGACCAAATTTTTTTTTGGGAACTAATGATTAAAATTAATAACAAGGGCGACATTACACCATTTTCAAAATTTAAAAAAAAAACATTACACTAAAAACAAGCTTAAATTAAGTTCTAAAAGTTTATGAGCCAAATTTAACCCTTTTTTCTATCCACAAGATTGAATTTAATAAGCTACCCAACCAATGGTTTAAGTCTTTACTACCAAAACGTATACTTCCTCCATTTAATATTATAAAAAAATTTTAACCTAATTACATCCCTAATAAATTAATTAATTATCTTTAAAATTATACGTTTTTCCATACCCCTATTTAATAGGTGTCTCCATTGGCAAACATTATCAATTACACTACCTAATTAAAAGGATTTTTTGGAAAACATTATTAATTCACTTTAAAAGATTTAAAATACCTTATATTTTTAATATTTTACTTCAGAGAAAATTCATTATATTTCATGATGGGGGGAGTAATGGTTTATTTTTCTGGCAAAAATATAAAGCTGGCTTGAAATTAAAGACCGTAAAGATTAATTAGAGCATTTTATATGAACCTTGGAATTAAAGAGGATTCGGAAAAACCTTGTCACGTTATTAGAGTCATAATCAAGGCAGCCATAAATTGGATTCTCAAACTGCTGATTTTCGTCATCTTTGTCACTTCGCTGATCCTTCATTCGATCTTTGTAGTACTCTTTCACTTTCCTCTGCTAATCACTATAATAAGAATGTAAATGATTTAACTCTGAATCAGTTGCATATCAACACACACACACACCACACACACGATTTCCACGAAGTAATTAGGTTTAAGATGACACAAAGCACTTTAATTAGTTGAAGAATCTACTGAATGCTAAGATATTGAAGGATTTCTCCATAAACTTACAAGATTGTCAAAAGCAACTGGAGGAAAACGTGGATCACAAGAGTATTCCCTCCGTCTTTCTTAATAAAAAAAATTAATCTTTATTTTTTTATTTTTAATTCGGTTGTAATTTAGTTTTTGAACTTTAATTTATTGTAACTTAGCATTCAAAAATTTTGACTTGATTATAATTCAATTCTTGAATTTAAAATAACATAACTTCTAGTCAAACAAGCCATGAAGTAATCAGGGAGTTCTCCTTCAGTTGCTAGTCAAACAAACGTAACTCTGGCCTATTTCATGGCAATCGGATGGAGTAATTTATAATATGATTTGTCTCAAAATGAACTTGTTTTGGGCTGCCATAAACATGGATAAAGCATTAATATAAGCGTGTGTCAAATAATCTTATTCTGCCTATCAATTAACTTTGACACTGATATCACATCTGGATCTTTGTGAGCCATATTCAGTGAATGTGTATATAATTATATTATACTCCCTCCAGATCACAATATAAATCATTTTTAGAAGCACCTCTTGATTCAAAATATAAGACATTGGGTGAATTTTATGTTTCTTTTTCAATTTATACCCTCACTTTTTTTAATTTAATTTATTTCTTTAAATTCTCTATATTTAAAAATCATACGTGTGTTACTAAGAACTATAAGACATTAGATGAATTTTATGTTTCTTTATAAATTTATAACCTTGTTTTTTTTAATTCAATTCCTTGTCTTTAAATGCCTTATATTTAAAAACCATGCACGTGTTATTTATGAAGGAGTCATATCTAATATATAATTATCAATATATGTAATATGTAATATTTTTTCTTAAAAATATCAATTACATGATTTCAATTCTTAGCTTGAATGCCACAAAAGCTTAAGAGCATATACGATATAAATATTAACCATCTAGAATTTTTTTTTGTTTTTTAAAAGAAAATACCTAATAATTCCGAAAAGATAATTTAGCTTAACTATATGGATTATTTTTACCATTTATGTCAATCTAAATCTTATAAAGACGATAGGTTTATAGTTTTTTTATAGAAAAATTATATTTAGGTGCTCAAGTATTGAGCATAGCAAAATGTTCAACTTTGTTATTAAAAATCTTTTGGGGGATTTCACCAAAAAAAAATCTTTTGGGAAAACTAGGTGTAAATTTACTTAATTTTTTTGGCCACGGATATGTTAATAGTTGAAAACAGCAATGATGCACGGATTTTAAGTTGCCGAATAGCCGTGAAATTCTCATTATTCATCACTTTGAAATGTTATAGAACAAAACAAGAAATCACGCATGGATAATTAATCAATGAGAAACATGTAAGTAATTATAAAACAAGCCAAGTGACCCAAATATAAGTGAGATGAAAAGAAATCATATTAAAAAAAAAACAAGAAGAAAAGAAAACGACATTTTATTCGCCTTCCTCATTCCTCATGGGAATTGATCTCTCTCTTGTCAGCTGCAGTCCCCATGCACTTACGATCCTTTTAAATACTGTTAAGAGGGAAAACAATTGGTGTAATGATTACATATGTATATATATATATAATAAAATAAAAATTTATAATTATCAATATATCTAAGATATTTAATTTGTTTTGAAAAAAGAGAAATACAATAATTGGCCCCTGTATTTGATTGTATTTTGCTTTTAATCTTCATAGTTTTATTTTGTTGTTCTCAATCCTTTTATTTTGATCCATTTGTAATGTTAGTCTCTATAGTTATAAGAATGTACACAACCATAAAACTGGCACTGTCAAAGTTAATTTTACTATAACTCTACTAATCTACTAACATCTTTGCTTACGTGGTAAAAATATGTTTACATAGAAATAAATTGACTAGGTATGATTAAAAATAAAATGCGAGGTGCAAAGAAAATTAAACAAAATCTGGGTGACAAATGCAAGATCAAGTACATGTCAACAATATATATAGTTACTATAAGTTAAGTCTACATAAGTAAAATTAACTCCGTCAATGCCAGTTAATAATTCTTTTGTGAATTGATTCGCCTGAGAACCACGAAATAAAATTATAGAACTAAAAACAAAATGCAACCTATTGTTATATATTTCCAAAAACAAATATCAACTTACCAATCATGCAGCCTAGCCGAAACGCTGATAAGGCTGAAATGGTGGGATTATTTTCAAATCGCGTATGGCTTTTATCATATCAGCCATCATCACTCTGTCGGTTGCAAACATGAGTAAGGTTACAAGAAAATAAGCTATCAAACAGAGTGGAATAGCAACATAAGCGGTATAATAGGAGAAAGCCATGAGTAAGATGCTGTAACCAGCAATAAGGTGTATAAAGAGCCCTCCCAATAAGACTGCACGACGGCCCCGCAAAGTGAAAAGCAAGTAGAGGGTGGATTCGAAGAAGATCAAGGTGTTGAAGAACAAGAACGCAAAAGCCAATTTGGATGGACAGTTCTTAATGTCCTTTATTAAGCCGTGTTTTCTGGCGGAAAGGCATGTCCAATGTATTTCAGTTCCCTCTCTGAAAAGTGTTGAGGGAGGATTTAACACCCCTTCGTATGTTAACGTTAGGATTATGGTGACCACAACTAGCATTGCATTCTCAAACTCTGCTTTTCTGTGTTCTTCTTTCTCTTTATTTTTAGGGATTTTAGGTTTACGGCCATCCTCGGGGTCCTCATCGATAATTTCAATTTCGACCTCCTTTATCCCATCATTCATCTGCTCTTCTTTGCCCAGTATAACCTGTTAATGCCATCCCACAGATATATTCGTCAAATACAGTGCAAGTGTGTGTGCAAGATCCAAACACTACAAAAAAAATAACTTTCAGCGGCGACACTAAAAAGTCATCGTTGATTCTCAACTTTCAACGGCGACAGTAAAAGTCGCCACTGAAAGTGTGACTTTCTGTGGCGACAAGATATAGTCGCCGCTGATTGTCAGACTTTCAGCGGCGACAAGTGCATGTCGCCGTAGAAAGTCACACTTTCAGTGGCGATGTCTGCTGTCGCCGTTGAAAGTTTCTAGTGTCGCCATTGATTGTCAGCATTTTTATAATTTTTTTTAAAAAAATTATGTTGTAAGTTTCGTGTCGCCGCTGAAAGTCGAAAATCAGTGGCGACTTTCTAGTGTCGCCGCTAATTGTCAACATTTTTATAATTTTTTTAAAAAAATATATTGCAAGTTTCAGCGGTGACATACATGTCACCACTGAAAGCCAAGAATCAGCGGCGACTTTCTAGTGTCGCCGCTGATTATCAGCATTTTTATAATTTTTTTAAATTATGTTGCAAGTTTCAGCGGCGACATACATGTCACCGCTGAATGTCGCCGCTGAAAGTCGAGAATCAACGGCGACTTTCTAGTGTCGCCACTAATTATCAGCATTTTTATAATTTTTTTTAAAAAATTATGTTGCAAGTTTCAGTGGCGACATACAAGTCGCCGTTGAAAGTTGAGAATCAGCAACGACTTTTTAGTGTCGTCGCTGATTGTCAGCTTTCTTACACTTTAGAAATTAAATTTCATGACAAGTTCAATTTTTGTGTTTTCAAAATTAGATTAAAGTATTTTCCATAGGAAAAAATATATTTTTGTTTTACCAATTTCATGATGTTCATTTTATTTAGGTTTCAATTATTTCCATTTCCATTTATTTAACCAAGTTGTATGTATGTATGTATGTATGTATAGATACAGATACATATCTTGTAATATTACAAGTGAAGAGAGCTTTATATTAAGAGATAGAGAAAGGGCTATTTAACTCAATGCCTGCAAAATCAAAAGTCTTCTGATTTTGTAGAAATTTAGAAAAATCATGGTTAAATTAGCTCTTTTGATTTGCTTCACTTAATTACCTTTTTTTTTTTTTGCTTAAACTATTTTTTGACAAGATTCAACTCTTGTTTTTCTTTTGCTTTTTCTTTTCTTCTTTTGTCATATTTATTTTTCACCCGTGATTTCTTGTGTCTTTTCTATTTCAAAAAGAATTTAGATATTATGCACAAATATCTCTTTCAAATTTTTCTCTTATTTAATTTATTCTATTTTCTATTTTTGAGATTTCTATTTGTTCTTCAATTCTTTTATAATGTATTTCTTTATTTCTACCTCTTCTACTTTTCCTTCAGGTTCACTATTCCTATTTAGCTATAGACTAAGACTCTTAGGACTTATCTTATTCTTCTTCTTTGACTTAGATCCTAATATCTTATCGAACCATCTCATATTTCTATTTCTACAAGTTTTATTTTCTATTGATATTGTTCTTCCTAGGCTTAATAGGAACACCACTGCCTAACTTTCCTATTCTTTCACAGTAATTTTGAATATTATATTTCTTAAATATTCTCTGTTTGTTACTAAACTTACTTGGCAATATCATTTTTTTATAAGTTATATGTGATATTATGTTCATGTATCTTTGTTGATTTATTTCAAAAGGGGTGTTATCTATTTCATTTTCTATTTCTTTTTCTATATTTTCTTCTGCTTTTATTTTACTAGTTATAACGAAGAACAATAAATTCTACTCTTTTAACATATGGACAAATAATTAACATTATAAAACCAGAGTTAGAAAAATACAAGCCCCTTCTAGGAAAAATAAAAAAAGATATTATTATAAAAGATATATGAGACATAAAAAAATATTTTCTGAAAAAACATAGAAAAAACCTTTAGAAAAGATAATTTTAAAAAAGATAAAATATAAATAGTTTGTTATAAATGTGAAAGATTTAGCTATTTTTATAATTTTTTTAAAAAATTATGTTGTAAGTTTCAGCGGCGACTTTTTAGTGTCGTCGCTGATTGTCAGTATTTTTATAATTTTTTTAAAAAAATTATGTTGCAAGTTTCAGCGACGACTTTCTAGTGTCGCCGCTGATTGTCAGCATTTTTATAATTTTTTTAAAAATTATGTTGCAAGTTTCAGTGGCCACTTTTTAGTGTCGTCGCTGATTATCAGCATTTTTTAATTTTTTTAAAAAAATTATGTTGTAAGTTTCAACGGTGACATTAAAAAGTTGCCGTTGAAAGTCGAGAATCAGTGACGATTTTTTAGTGTCGCCGCTGATTGTCTGCATTTTCATAATTTTTTTTACTAATGTATAATCATTAGTATTTTTACTATTTATTCTTAGATATTTTTATATTATAATTATAAATATGAATATTAAAATAAATAATATAACAACCTCAAGAAGTAAAAAAAATTAAAATAAATAATACAAATTATATTGTATGAATTATATTTATAGTTTACTTTAAACAAAATAAATAATATATTTGTAATTTTATAAATTAAAAGAATTAAATTGAAGTATTTAAGGATAGTAATGATATTTTATAATATTTAATATTTAATATATATGTGTGTTTGTATAGTTTAATAATGTGTGTGTGTGTGTGTGTGTGTGTGTGTGTGTGTGTGTATTTAATTATACAATAATAGACTACAGGTTCATTCCAGCTCAGTGACAAAATAGTTGAACACAAAAGGAGGAGGTCACGGGTTCAAATCTTGGATGAGACAACTTTCAAAATGAAAATATAAATTGATGATATGATGACACGTGGCGTGTGGTGAGAACAACACATGGAGAGTGACATGGTGCCATATGGCGCGAGGTGAGGGTAACTTTTATTATTGCCGCAGATTGAATCAGTGACAAGAGCTCTCACAGCGACATTATGGTGACTTTTTGTCACCGTTGAAAAACTTTAAGTGGTGACTTTTTGACTTATTTGTCACCGCAGATTCTCAACTTTCAGCGGCGACTTTTATTATTGCCGCAAATTGAATCAGCGACAGGAGCTCTCGCAACGACATTGTGGTGACTTTTTGTCGCCGCTGAAAGTTTTCAGGGGCAACTTTTTGACTTTCAGCAACAATTTTTTTGTAGTGAAAGCTGTAGCAGACTTTTAAATAGCGTTTGAATTGATAGATTTAAATATATTTGAATTTTATATTTAAGATCTCACATTCAAATTCATGTATTTATAAAATCATTTGTTATTTTAAAATAATAAACATCAAATATACGCAAATATTTGACAGTTACCAAGAAATAATTGTCAAATGTGGCCTTACAGAAAATGTTGAAAGTAGAATGTGATTACCCATACTTGATGTACACCTAGTAACAACTATCAAAGGAGTCCTTTTTATATGATGTCTGCATACTTGACTGTTAGATAAGGCCAAAAATAACTCTCAAGTATGACCATTTTTGTAATAGTTAAGTAGCGTAAAAAAAAAATAAAGAAATAAGAGAGACGAATTGATATTTAAAGTGAACATGGAAAAATGATAGTAATAATTTTATCTCTATTCTTCAACTGGCTAAAACTGAAAGTGAGAGATGAGAGAAAAGGCGATAGTGCTAGAGGTATCAACTGTGTGAAAACAATGAAAAAGTTACAGGGACTGAAATTTTAAATAACTAAGCTACAGATGTAATTTAAAATTATAAAATAATTATAATGAGAAATAAATTTCGATCGATTTGGGTTTGATCCAAATCCCTATATTTTCATGCATCCAAATGGGGAATTTGGGCCCCATTCTAAATCCAAATTATCCCATCAATTCAAACATAACATTAGGTTTTTTTTTAATTACCTGGAATTGTTTCTTGGCCTTCGCAAGATCATAAATGGTCTTGCCGTTGATGTCCTTGGCTCCAAGCAATGTCTGGAAATTTCGAAGGATTCTGATCCTCTCCATTATCACCTTCATAGCTTCAAGTTGATTAGCCTTTATTGCTAGATGAAGAACCGTCTCTCTCTTTGCCGTCACTTCTGCTATACACTCAGGACAATGCTTGATTAACTCTTCCATCACATCAACCCTACCTCTGAAAACTGCATAATGTAAAGCAGTCCAGCCATCTTCATCGTTCACAAGGCACTGGTTCACTTCGTTACTGTCAAGCCTCGCACTTAAGAGCTCCTTCACTATATCAACATGCTCAGCTACTGAAGCCATGTGCAACGGGATCAAACCTTTCTGGTTGGGCAGAGTGGCTAATGAAGGCACTCGAGTAATAATCTCTCTCACAAATTGTACTTGATCTGCTAGTGTCGCCACATGAAGAGGTGATTCTGCAAAATGGGCTAAACACGCTTTCTTCAGTATCTGAGGATCCTCCTTCAATAGTTTGTTCAACATAGTAACATTTCCAACTCTCGCAGCTTCCTTCAACCTCCGATCCATGATTATGTGATGATACTGTTTTGTTTGATGGTAGTAGTTATACATATATAGATATATACTTGCGCGATCGATAACTTAATTAGGGGCTTTTCTGTCCATATATATACATTGCTCCGAGGCTAATCTGTGTCCGTAGTACGATCACATACCTTACCCCAAGATTAATTCATCTTTTGCATTCGAATATATATTGGGTTTTTTTTGGGGGGGGTGTCATAAGCCACTTGCGTTCTTGGTAATTTTGGGACTATTGTCTTTCTGTACATATCAATTTAATTTATTCCTTGCTTCAAGGTCAATCCATACATATTAATTTAACTTATTCGTTGCTCCAAGATTAATCCATTGATTGTAATTTTTCTGTCCTTTTCCCCTTTTGTCCAGCTGCAATATATATACCGTCCAACGTGTTATGTGTGTGATTTATAATAAGAACCCTTTCCATGTCGACTCAAGCATGGAATGTGCAGCCTCCACCAGTTGCCAAGTACTACGACTTATATTGGACCCCACAATATACTATCAAATAATGTGTGAAGATTTGTAAATAATAATAATAATAATATTTGAACTGTCAAATATAAAAGCATTAATGTTTTAATAAGATGTTGTTTTAAAAAATTAATATTTAAATTACTTATCAATGTTGGTGCTAAAAATGGCAATCCAATAATTTTATATGGGTAAGAAATAACATTAGTTTATTGAATTTTTTTTATAATTTAAGGGACTTAATCACTATTAATTTTCTTATAAGATCCTTTTTTTGTAAATTTCTCAGCCCTTTTTTATTTTTATTTTTTTGTTAACTAGCAGTCAAATTAATGGATATTTAATGAAGGGATGATATTGCTCCATTTTTTAATATATGAAGGGTAATATGCACTTAATTCCAGGGTGCCCAATATATCTAGAAAAAGGTTTAGGAAAAAATTAACACTTCAACACTAAAATATAAAACTACTACATATTATTATGAAAGGAAAAGTTATTTGAAAAAAAGAAATAAATAAGATAAAATATTTTTATTGTATTTTATAGATGGCCCATGGGCTTTGAAAACAAATATTCCACACACACACACACACACACATATATATATGGGTGAGAGCTTTCTCATTTTTTTCCCATTTAATTTTATGCCAAATCAGCCCTTAATATAGATAATGTTGGAATAAAATTCAACATATAGGATAACACGTAAATATTAAAAATGTGTAACCATTATTATAATTTAGCCGAAATAAAATAGTCTATTTGAAAAGGTTTTAAAGCTTATGAGGTCTAATTATTATTATGGAATTATTATGTAGAGAATAGAGTAATATTTATAATTTGTTGATTAGTCAAATTGCAAATATCACAAACTTAAGTCTATAAATAAGGTTCATAATGACAAATCATTTCTTGACACCCCTTCAACCAGTGAACCATAAAAAAGCTTTTGATGTTTACAATTAAGATCACAAGAATAATGTCACACCCCAATACTAATAGTGTGACTGGTACAGAATATAGGATAGATTCATATTCCATAAACCTTAATCAACTAAAAAATTAATTGAAGATAACAATATATAATTTATGTCTAAATTTAAAATTCATAAAGTTTTAACCATTTTGTAGAAATTTCAATAAAGCCTCCCTGTGATTAGGAATCACAAGTAACTAACACATGCTTCTCCAGTTCCAAAAACAATTGTGTCCCTCAGTGATCAGTAAGAGGTGTAGAGTCAATTTCAATACTTGAAACCAAAGAAAATTTTTTCGATGAACAAAGTCCCAATTTACAGTTGAAGAAATAATAAAAAGCAAATCAATGAGTTAATTTATAAATTTACTAAAATAATCAGTTGAAATTAACATAAATCATGAAAACATAAATACAATTAAAATTATTAAAATTTTAATTTTTTAGTGAGACTTAATCAAAATGATCAATAAGCGTAAACACACATTCCATGAGGATAAATAACCAACAAGCGTGAATACACAATCCACGAGAGTAAGTTACTAACAAGCGCAGCTTAAAGCCATGAAATAATCAAGCATGGCTAGAAGCCATGAAATAAGTGAAGGCACAAAGCTCATGAAACAACTGTAGGCATGGTGCTCATGAATATTCATCCCTCCATTCCACGTGTATTGGCCTACTCACGAGGCTAGTACCTTATATAAGTACCTTGCTAACTAGGTGTACCATGATATGCCAAGGGCTAACGGAATTGTCGTTAGCATCTAGTATTTTGAACTCAATTCTCTTAATTAAATCAAGCGTGCTTGGAATTGAAACATTCATTTAAAGTCATTTCTTTCAAAAATGTAATATTCAGCTGTCAAATTTTCATTTTAATTTTTTTCCATGCACAAATCACCATATTAACCACTGTTATATAAATTATAAATTATACAATTTAAACTTAGAAATGCTTAGAATAAATAGTCAATTAATAGTGTACTGGATTCAAATATTCATTAACAATAGCATAATTCTTAATGAAAATAATGCAGATTCTATAATGAACCTATTAATATAAAAGTAAGATAAGTAAGAAGAATTGTATAAATTATAAAAATAGATTTAACAAGAATATTTATGCAATGTATAAAGGAATAATATATAAAAAAAACTTATAAACATTCTGCAAGAAATTATTTGAGGCACTACTCACTCACCTGAAAGTTTTTTAATAATTCTAAAACTTGCTTCACTTCAACTTCTCACTTAGCCATTAATTTTTCAAATAAGTCAATTAAAATTCTAAAAATCACTTATTTATTCTTTCTTAATATAAATAAATAAGTGTGTAATATGCTAACCATCAACAATTAACAAGGTTCTTTTTACCCTTGTAAATTTTCTACCTCCTTCAATTTCACTTGACAATTAATTTTCCCAAACAATTATTGACATTTAAATTAATTCCAACTAACATCCCAACTATACATACCAAGTCAAAAATTTTCTTATCAAATTATTAACTTAACAATAACCCAACAAAAGCAAAAGAAAAACCTTCCCATCTAGTTTATGCCTTCCTTAATGTTTAACAAAATGTTACAAACTACCAAGCCTCTTTCACTTTAATTCCCTTTCCAAAAGGTTTCTTGTAACAATAATTTGAACAATTCAAACTTCCCAACATCCACTAAAGAGAATAATTATCTTCTAATAATTGTTTAATTAACAACAATATGTTCACTATATCATATGTCAAAACTCACATTTAGACATTTTATCAATACCACAAAGACATTAATTCTCAACCTAATACTAAACTTCTTCTTATTCAATTCCATTCCTTTAACCCAAATCAATTATAAACAGTGATGAATTCAAGGGGGCCAACAGGAGCTGTAGTCCCCCATGCTACAAAATTTTATTTATACTAGATAAAATTTTATTCATAAAAAATGATAAAATTAAGTTTAGCCCCCTTACTTTTTGATAAAATTTCATTTATGGCCCCCCACACAATGATTTTTGGATTCCTCCTTGATTATAAAGTTAAAGAAAACCAAATCAGTCATGCTTTCAAATCAATTCCTCATCACAAATTATAGAATATAAAAATTCCAAAATAATAATACAATTAGGTGAAATGCTTTTAGAAAATTAATATAAGAATAATAGATTTTAATCTTAATTTAGGAGGGCTTTATCAAAACTAATAGTAAGTGTGAATACACAATCCACGAGAGTAAATAATAAATTAAGCGTGAATACACAATCAATTAAAGTAAGTAACCAGTCAAACACGGTTGAAAGTCACAAAGCTAGTGTGGCTAGAGCCACAAATCAAGTTTAGGCACAGGGCCCATGAAAACAAGCATGAATACAGTATTCACAAATTACCATCCCTCCAATCCAAGTGCGTTGGCCTTCATATGAGGCTAGTATCTCTTATAAGCACCCTGCTAGCTAGCTAAGTGTATTATGGCGTGCTAAAGGCTAACAAAATTGCCATTAGCATCTAGCATTTTGAATTTAGTTCTCCTCATTAAAATTAAGGGTGTATGGATCAAGAAAAGTAGTTTCCAAAATTTTTACTTTCAAATATTGAACTATCATTTTCTTCATGCACAAATCGTTGTAATAAAAAATTTATATAAATGTAAAATTAAATAACTAAACTGATTATGAGAAATAATACCATTTACCATATATCTATTTCAATCATTTCTTATCAATAATATAAATCATAAGTAATGTTTAGGACATTGTCATTAATACGACAATTATTATGAAAATAAGATTAACAACAATATTTATATAATTCATAAAGCTATACTAATAAAGTTTAAATAAATAAATTTTTATAATACTTTACTGAAAATTTATCTAGCACGCCACCCACTTACACATGAGAGTTTTTAGGAATTTAAAGCTTGTTTTTTTTTAACTTTTAACTTTTATTCTAATGATGCCCTTAATGTCCTAACAAATAAGTTAAAATTCTAAAATCATTTATCAAATAATCTTCCAAGCACTTAATGGATATTAATATTCAATCCAAGCAATACTAATGATAATACTATAACCAATTATGTTCCAAGTACACTTGAGTTAGTCAAATCATTTGATAACTCTTAACTCATTCATAAATCATATCAACTATTCTTAGCTACCTCTAAACTAAATATATATATATATATATATGAAACAAGCATAGTATGTATACATTGTCTTACTTCGGTATTTTAAAATTTTTAATTAATAATTTGAACCAAAACTTACATATACTCCTCCAAACTATAACATAAACTTAACAATCCATAATTTACCAAATTCTTTTCTTGCACATTTTTACAAATATCTTGAGAACATGTATTTATTGTTGACAAAATTTTAAAATGAGTAACCAAACAATTCCAACAACTTCTAATTTTTTACTTTTATTAACCAAATTTACTTCAGTGTCATGGTAGAATAACATCCAAGTTTAACTAAAACTACACCTCTAATTGATTCCAAAATTTCGTGACAGCAGTAATAAGGA